GGTTTTATATATTTGTGTACATGCAGAAGTGCTAAATCTGGATCTAATTTCTTCATGACAAAACCCAGTTTTCTGCAACATCCTCACAATCCCAGAGGGAATTTCTTTTCATCTTATGGCATGTTTAAAAAAAAAAAAATCTTCACAGCAACAAATGTAAGCTCCCTAGGAGAAGAAGGCCATGCAGACAATAGGGAAGGGAAGGAGGAAGGAAGGAAGAGAAATCTGCCTTCCCAAACAAAGCCATGTGCAGGGTCCAAAGGATAAAGAGCCAAGTAAAATAATCCTTCCAGAAGAAGACAGAGAAAAAAGGGTGGGGAGCTGGAAGGAAGGAGGGTATAATCACACCTTCCCTTCACAAACTGTAATTAGAAGAAACACTAACTGGCCAGATCGCTCTCAGGAGATCTCTTGGGCTCACCTGGGCCTGTTTTATTAATCAGGCTCCTCCCCAGTATCTCTCCCTCTCTGCCCCCCTCCTTCTCTCCCTTCTTCTTCCCTCCCTCTCTCCTACAAACAAAAAGCTAAAATAAAATAAATTTCCACAGCAAAATAGTTGCAGATGTTCTACCTTGGAATACACCCCTGGATCAAGAGCTGGTCACTTGATATGCAGGGCTGGGGACCAGAGGCTGGTACAAAATGGCTCTGCTCTGTGGCCTTTTCACCTTCATAGCACCCAATGCTCCTAAGTTTCCTGATGCCTCTGAGCTCATGAGACAAAGAACAATGAAACCAGGACTCCATTAAACTGCTAGTGGTTACACTGGCAGAAAACAAAACCGTCACCCAGCCTTGCTTACGCCCCTAGCAGAATCTCACTCAACTCAACTCTTGTTGTGTGCATTTTCCTTTCAACTCCAGAAAATTAATTTAAATGTAGCCTGTGATGAAATAAGTGATAATTATGTTCTGAAACAAATGAGCAGCTCTAAAGTGTGAAGAACTTAGAATACTCTTTTCTTAAGCTTTCAGATGATCATAATATGTGATTTATTTTTACTTTCTCCCAATATAAATCACACTAGTAAATTAAAAAGGGAGAATTCTTCTACCAAATTACACACTAATGGTTCTTAACCCATAATTAAAGTATCACTAACAGCAGCTTAAAGCCATAGCCAACCATGAGCACATTTATTAGGACCTAAGTTTTCAGCACCAAGTAATTATGCAAATATAACTGTCAGCCATCTTGAGGAAACTCCATGGTCTAACCAGCTCCCTGCTCCCTTAGAGAAGTATTCTTTGTGAACTGGCATTACACAGGGCCTTCTCCTCTGCAAAATCAGAAAAAAATTAAACCATACATAAGTGCCAGTGCAGCAAGGAGAGCAAATGCCAATGAGACTGGTCACCTAGAGTTCTCATTACGGTCTTTCCTGAACATCACAACAGTCTGGAAACTAGACCAGCAACTAACTGGCTTCAGAATAATGAAGGGTTCAGGACAGGCTCGACAGTGTACTATAATCCAAAATGTCCCCTGTGAAGGCCCTGCGGACAGAATGGGGTCTCTAACATCAAGGAGCTACTAATTAACAAGACAAGGCATTAAATAATTCTAGAAAGGCAGTATGCTATAGAAGAATCATGGAAGAGTCAAAACCACTGACTGGGTTCTCACCACAATTCAATTCTATTACAAACTTTCTTAATGCACTTGAACAGACAATTTACCTCCCTGGGCCTCAGTTTCCTTGCAAAAACAAAGCAAGTATATTAGGTGATACCAAGGTTCTGCAAATAATTAGATAATTAGAGAATGAAAGATAGTATATAACCAAAGCTGAATTATACAGTAGCAACTATAGCTGCTACTAGAAATATTTCATTGATTTTTTTTTTTTTTTTGAGTCAGTCACTTGCTGAGAGCCTTATCAGGCACCATGCCAGGACTGAGAGATCCAGCAGGACCAAGACAATGCCGTGCCCTCAGGAGGCATTCAATCTCCTAGTGAAGTATTCTGAGGAGAGTTCAGCGGGGAGAAAAGGAAGGCTGGGGTTGGACTAGAAGCTTTCATGGAGATGGAGGCAAAACTGGGATTCAAGTGGGTATAATTTGAATGATCAGTGATGTGATGAATAATGAACTAGTTAACTGATGAGAATTGTAGCAATAAAACATGAGGTTTTCCAACAGACACATTAACACAAGCAGAGAGTTCTACTAATTTGCTCATCACCAATGAAGGTAATCAGCTGCCAGAAATTAAGCAGATTTATATTCTTCCTGCCCTTTGCCAATCTTCTCCTCCTACCCCAAAGGGCCCCCACCCCAAACCTACTATTTGTGCTTAATTTTTTCATTCTCTTTTCAGTTATGCTTCTGGAGGACTATGGTGAAAGTCAGGTGACAGAGAGCAGTCGCCATGCAGAGTCCACTTGCACTGTGGGATTTTAGGAAGACACTGTACGTTACAAGATAATTGGCTTAAAAAGGCCCATTTGTGTATAAGTTGCTAGAGAGGTTGAAGAAAGATGGTGCAGACACATGGTTTATTTTGTGGAGTAGAGCTGTGTGTAATACAACTAAGGAATACGGTATAACTAACCTAGAGAATAAGAATAACCATCAACATCTTAATTTTTAAAACTAAAAATTCAGAAAATTTGTCCTTTATTTTTTTTAAATCCTCACCTTAGGATATGTTTTATTGATTTTAGAAAGAGGAGAAAAAGAAAAACATAGATGTGAGATAGAAACATCGATCAGCTGCCTCCCGTACGTGCCCAACCAGGGATAGAACCCACAGCGTAGATATGTCCCCTAACTGGGGATCGAACCTACAACTTTTTGGTTTATGGAATGACACTCCAACCAACTGAGCCACCTGGCCAGCGCTGTCCCTTATTCTTAAGAGACGTGAAACCTGCCTGTGCCCTAAGTGAAATCAAATGCTGCCTACCAACTGTACATTCCATTTTCCAAATAACTTCCCTGAAATGCTGGTGAGCTGATATGTTTAATACAAATAGTCTTAAAGTGTTGAATTTAAAGGAACAATAACTGTTTCAACTTTTCTTTAAAAAAATCTCCATCTAAGATTCATGCCCATCTTAAAAACACCCTTCTGAGTTCAGAGCAGATGTGTGCACTGTTTGCAATGAGAAAACCACGAGGACATAAACAACCCACTATAAACACCACTCAAATTTTGCTGTGTTTTTCTTCATATCCTGTGTATTTATTTTGGTGTTAAAATAATGTTAACTTTCATAATAAGGAAAATAGCAGCAGATGTTTAAACCAAACAGACTATAGCATATCATCCCACATATCTACTTACTTTCAAAATCAAAGTTTCTTCCTGACAAATAAGGAGGGAGGCTAGAAGACTACTCATGTATTTACATACTGCAGAACAACAAATCAACCTGGAGAAGCTTTCCATAAGCTTTTCCTCACCACCACAAACTGGAGACATAAAAAATTAACGTGGTATCAATTTCCTAGCAATCTTTATGTTCCTTTCCTAAGCTGATCATTATATTTTGTTTTGAAAATATCATATTACTCGATGATAAAGACAAACAGAAATTGCCTTAAAAGTTTTTAATTTCTTGTTCACTAAAAAGAAATTTTTTTAACTGCAATAACTTAATTTCACAGGAAACAAGCCCAGTCACTTGCTGTTTAGACTATTATGGAGAAATCTGCCTTTTAAATGGGTGACTTCAGAAGCAAGATGATACTTATGGCTGCAGATTCAAAGAAAACAATTCACCAAAATTCTCATTCATGGGACAAGTGCTGGCGGGGGTGGGGGTGTGGGTTCTTTTAAAATAAAGAAAGTATAAGATCCTTACCCACAGAGTTAAAAAAAAAAAAAACCATGGATAATATTTTTTTCCTCTTGGAGGGGAAAGGGTAAGTTTTCAACTGATTAGGCAACAGGACTGAGATTTTTACATGTAAAGTACAAGTGAATTGGCTCACCCTCCCAAGTTTCTTCAATGTTTTCTTTTTCAAGAGAAGTGTCCAGTTCATTATAAGAGAAAACATGGAAACTGCTCCTGCTGAATTAGAAAGGAGATGCCTCCTCAATTTGTATGTCGTTACAACAAAAAACATTCCCCCTGCCAAGCTGAGTTCCCCCGGAGATGCCTCTCCGGCCACTCAAATCCAGGCCATTACCACTTTTTCATATCGCACGTAGATAATGTTCCAACAGATTAAGAAATCACTTTTTCTCTTCTTACTACCCACAGAGACAGCTTGAAATGCTACAACGCAACAGGGAAACACCTCATGGTTTAGTAAGTGGTAATGAACAATAAGAAATCAGAGCTTTTTTTTTTTTTTAAGCTTTCTCATTGCTGTGTTGTGCAATCACAAAGGACCAGAGTGTGGAGGGGAACATCCTTCAATGTCAGAACTCTCTTGGAGCTATACAGGAAATGGGAAATCAGACAAAGAGCCAGTCTGTGCTCTGTGACATGAGTGCCCTTCCAGTTCCCCAAAATGAATAGAAAAATTCTTCATTGTTTGGGACAATCGGTCCCAAAAACAAAAACTCACTGTAACTTTCTGTTCCCCTCTACATGAAAACCCAAAGCACTGCTGTAATACAACACAAATACTGTAGATGGTGTATGTTTAAAATAAGTATCAATGTAAAACAACAACAAAAAATCCCTACATGTTAACTTTTACCTGGGTCCTAAAACTTCATATCCAAAAGAAAACAGAAATTTTAAAAAATACCTTTTTAAAGACTTAAAAATCTGAAGAGTTAGTGCGTTATTAGCATAAAGCAAACTTTTAACAGTTTGTTTCACCTCCTCTCCACCCCCGGCCCTCACCACTATACCCCTGAAGACTAAGGTACAAATAACAAACTTTGAAAAGTGAAAACAGTACAGAGTAACAGCTAGCTTTCAAAGTGCCCTAAAGTCCCAAGAAAGAGAACACAAAGCACAGGAGACATTCAGAACGCTGCAGGAGGAATGGTCTTGATAAAAGCAATGGATAGCGATTTCTAGAACAGAACCTCTACCTTCATAGCACAGAATGCCGATATTGTTGTTCATCTTGTCCAAGTACTGGTAGTTCAACAGGTCCATCTTCATAAATAGCATTTATTGGGCTAGCACAGAAAACCAGCTCTTCGCTTTCGCCCCAAAAAGAGTACGTTTCAAAAATCAGTTATTGCTTAGTAGCTCCAGGCTCTTCTCTTAAACTTCACCAAGACGGAGGCCCGGCCTCCAAAGAGCAAAACAAAGTATGTAAAAGTTTAAAAAAAAAACACACACACACACAGAGGCAAAAATTGAACTCACACAAAACCCTTCAAGGGTTTAGTTGTAGACGGTATACGTTTTGTATCCTCAATGGAGCATTTAGAAATCGTTTCAGAAGTCTTTACAAGTCTTTCTTCGAAATAAAGAAGGAGTGAGAAAGAAAAGCTCGAAGCACATTTCCTAGGACAAAGCCCCGCTGGCGTTCCTCGCAGCCCGCTGCAAGTTCACTGCGCTGACATGCTGGCTATGCGTGGTATGACTCGTATGTAAACGAACTTCCTCTTCCCAGCGGGAGCGCGCGCGAGCATGCGCACTGAATCCCCGGGGCTCTGCAAATGTCAGGGATATTTTCTGCACAAGATCAGCCTCTAAATGTATTAAGTGTTTGAAAGAAAGAGAAAGAGGAGGTGGAGAGTCTGTACGGAGGGCCTCGGCGGAGCTGCTCTTGACAGGAAGCAGCCCTGCCACTGCAAAACTGTAGGAAGAAAAAGAAAACCCAGGAAGTTTCTTTTTCAGAAGCTGAGTAAAAAGTAAAAAATCCATCATGGAAGCAAACTTCCATGGAATTTAACTCTACTGTAACTTCTCTTTGGGGTTACAGAAACCCAATGTGTTCTGCTATCGCACATATACCACATATATTTTGTAAGATTTTCTTTTAAAAATTGTTTTATAATGTTGATTTACACTTCATCTGCATATTTAAATTTTTGGTGTTATTACATAAATTTCTCTCATAAGCCTCAGAACTATGTGGACAAGGCTGGGACAGTGTCACCTTTTCACAGTAGAGGAAACTGGGGCTCAGAAGGATTAAATGACTGGCCCATGGCCCCCAAAATATTTGGAAGAACTACTTTTACAGTGTTTTCTTCTCGTAGTTTTATAACTTTCTAAAAAACTGGCAAGGGGGGAATGAAAGCTGTTCCATCTGCATATTACAGGCTAGTAGTATGCTACCATGTTGTTCCTGATTGGAAGGACTGGACTTGGGGCTTTAAATTTGGGTCTAGATATTGGGGCTCCAATATCTAGCACAGCAAGTAGGTGCCCAAAAGCAGCTGTTCACTGAATGAATCACTGAATGTTTAGAGTCTTCAGCACACGAAGAACACACGAGCACAATGGGGGACAGGGATAGTTTTTATCTTTGCAGATTTGGGGTACCATAAATAGACTACTATAACCATAGAAAGTATTTCCGTGTAGATATTATTGCATGCTATGTGGAGATTTAGAAAATATCAAGCAGTTTTGTATTTGTAGACCAAGACCTAAAATTTTAATGCTCTAAAATAAGATTTGAATATATAATCTCAAGGGGTCATATGTTAAAAAATTCAGCAGTAGTTGCATTTAAGGTAACAGGTCCATTCATGGCAAGCTGTTCTTATCAAATCTTATCTGGAGATTAATATGGCACCTAAATAATGTGGCCATCCTGCTACAATAATAGTCATTGGGATGGCAGCTGGTAAAACAGGCAACAGAGAAAAATCAAGATTTCACAAGCTTTAATTTATAAGGGTATTTATTAATGCTACATTACATATTTACTAATGCTAGATAGTAAATAAGCTATACTGAAAGATACGTATACCATCAATTACAATTAAAATATCTAATGGTATTTGGCAGGAGAGTAGAAAAAAAACTTATAGCGTCTACTATACCCAAGATTATTGCACTTGCATAACAGTCTTAGTATCTTTAAGTGTCAGATTCAAATTTACCTAATAGCATTGAAGTATAATCATTATGCTACATTCTTTGACCTAAATTCTCAATCAGAAAACATTAGGCGTCATTAGCATATCCTTTATGGGTGACAGTTGGTTTCACATCAGAATCAGGGCAGAGCTGTTAAAAATTCTGATGCTGAGCTTGCATACAAACTAATCTGAGGAGGGTGGACCCAGTGACAGATCTTTTAAAAATTAAGAGTCCCAGGTAATTATAATATGCAGCCAAGGTTAAGAACCATTGCTTTCATTTGGGAGGGAAAAATTTACATGCCTTAAAATACTTATTATACACTTATTTTGAGAAAGTGTTCTTTTTAAGATACTGTGATTTAACCAGATTCAAATAATACCATTGTAAAGATATGTGTAAAATATTTAGTAACTTCCCTTTCATGATTCAGTATCACTTCTAATGTGGTTCAGCCTCTAAATAGAAATCATCTGTGTGGACACAGTCCCATGGGTATCCCTTGACTTGGCATGATCTGCAGCAAAATTCCCAGCCCCTGGTTGTCTTTTCCACTGAAATGGGATGCTAGGTTGGTGCTACTTGAGTGTGGTCCACCAAGGCGTTCAAGAACTGGTTGTCACTATCCACAACAGAGTGAACATTTCAAAAACGCTTAGAGCAATCTGACTGAGTAATTTTGTCTCCCAAACATTAACTTAAAAAAATTAAGGATTGTATTCTTTCATAGTTCTACTTAGTAAGTTTTGTTGCATTTTACAAAGTATCGATCTGCAATGAAGTGAGGGAGAGAGAACCTGGTCATCCACCCAGGCGGCCAGAGAAGCCCTGTGCAGGAGGACGAGTAGCTGCTACAAGGGCTTGTCTCCATGGTACAGTGCACGCCCTCCGCAACCTGCACCTGGTGCATCCTAGCTCCTCCCATCTTACACCCAATGCTTCAAGCACACTTAACTACAATACTTAAAGTTATTCTTAAAAAACCACATTATTTCACTTCTTTGTGCATGTTCTCTCTTTTGTGAAAGACTTTTCCAAGCTGTCTACCCAGCAAACCACCCATTCTTCCTCAAGACCTGGCATACACCTGTCTTGTCCTGTGGGACCCCCATTCTCCCACCTCATCAATCCTGCTCTGTGTTCCACATACACGCTTCTATCCTACCCAAGTCTAGGCTTTAAGAGCAAGGGCTATGCCTTCTTTACCTTTGCAAGGTCAGTGTGGCATAAATCTGGCACATAGTAGGCCATTAATAAATACTTATTAAATAAAAATTCTCAGGGGCAGATTCTCCATTCCCCCAGCCCTTCCCCTACTCCCCAAAACATGGGATTACCTAACCTGAAGCTTCTCAAACAGAATGATCAACATTTTCAGGGGACCACAAGTTCTTGCATTTGAAAAATACTCATTTAGATTCTGATCACTCTTCAGGTTACAATCCATTCATTCATTTTAAAAATCCTAATACTAGAAAGTGTCAATGCTTCGAGTTTATCCATAGGCTAATATATTCATAATTAAAGTATGAACAGGATTGCTTTTAGGTAAATTAGAAGGATGGTACTAAATTTTACCTATAAAAACTCAGGTTGAAAGATGTATATTTTTTAAGAATGAAGAAATTTGAGTTATTAGATATTTAAAACATAAAGCCTTAAAGAATGTTTGGATACAGAATAAGTGGCACTAAATAGATACTGTCATAAAGTGAAGTTTTTACTGTAAAAATTTTGAAAACCATAATATGTTCAGACTAATTTGTAATAGGGAAATATTTTTCTAAGCCTGAAAAAAATAAAACCTTAAAGAAAGGAAGTCACCCTGGCTGGTGTGGCTCAGTGGATTGAGCACTGGCTTGTGAACCAAAGCGTCACGGGGTTTGATTCCCAGAGTAGGGCACATGCCTGGGTTGCAAGCCAGGTTCCCAGCAGGGGGCGCGCAAAATGCAACCACACATTGATATTTCTCTCCCTCTCTTTCTCCCTTCCTTCCCCTCCCTAAAAAGAAATAAAAATCTTTTTTAAAAAATTTTTTTAAAAAAGAAAGGAAGTCACAGAGGCAAACACTGAAAAATTTGAGTTAATATGCAAATTTCATGTTTTTGATCTGAAAACACCCAAACCAAATAGAGAGGCAAACCACAAAACACAATATATTTATAACATATATTATGCTAGATGAAGGATAAATGTTCTGGTATATAAAGAACATTTAAAAGTACAAAGAAAAAAGAGTCTAAAATTTTTTAAATAAGCAAATAATATGAGAAAAAAATGAATGGCCAATACACTGTTGAAAAACTATTCAACCTCATTAATAAGTAAAAAAATTTTAATTAAGTGATTTTCCATCTGTCAAATTAACAAAACAAGAAGACTGTGTCAATCTTATTTAATGCTGGTGAGGCAAGATGCCATTGGAATTTGTGTTCACTGCTAGTGAAGTGCAAACAGATAATGCCTTTCTACAAAGCAGTCTGGCATTCATATTAAGCTATTTGCAATACTGAAAATGTTCACAACCTTTTCCTTACACTGGACTCTACTCCTAAAACTCTGCTTTATGAAAATAATTAGATTCGGTCAAAGAGTTACAAAAAGATGTTTTGCATCCTTCTATGTATAATAATAAAACCTGAAAATCTAAAAGTCCAAAAATAAGGAAATGTAGTGATACTGAGGTATATCAATGACAGAATATTATGCAATTCCATCAAAAATATATGAAATGAGGAAATGCTATATTATACACCACCTAATAGTCCTACATAGGTTAACTGAAAACAATGAAAATAGTATATTAAAGATGTATCCACTATACGTCAATTTTGTTCATGTATTTGAGTGTGTGTGTACACACATACATAAAAAAGTATACACATGGCCCTAGCTGGTGTCACTCAGTGGATTGAGCACTAACCTGTGAACAAGGGGTTGCCGGTTTGATTCCTGGTCAGGGCACATGCCTGGGTTGCAGGCCAGGTCCCCAGTAGGGGAGTGCTTGAGAGGCAACTACACATTGATGTTTCTCTTCCTCTCTTTCTCCCTCCCTTCCCCTCTCTCTAAAAATAAATAAATAGTTTTTTTTTAAAAAAAGTATACACATGTATTAAAAAGACTGGAAAGAATACCCAAATGTTAACACTATCTTTAAGTTATGGGAATTTTTTTACATTTGTCTGTATTTCTAATTTACCTATAAATTCCTTATTTGATTAAGGTGAGGGTGAATGAAGTTCCCTCACTTTATACAAAGCAGGCACATAATGAGAAGATATGCCCTCGTATCACATAAGCAATGGATCACATATATCTTATTTTTTATTTTATCTATCTTTCGATTTATTTATTTCCTTACCCAAGGACATCTTTTCATTGCTTTTAGAGAGGGAGGAAGAGAGAGAGCAGGGAAAGAGAAACATCAATGCAAGAGAGAAACATCAATTTGTTGCCTCGTGTATGCGCCCAGACCCAGGATTCAACCCGAAACCTAGGTATGTGCCCTGACCAGAAATCGAACCTATAATCTTT